AAATGAGATTAGAAGAGCAGTTTTCTCCAATAGCATTTGTAGACAGAAAGTTCAAAAACAATTTTCTTACGAATGAGATGTCACTCCTAAGCCTATACATGATCCTCAAAAAGAATATGAAATTGAATAAATGCATCACAAGATCACGAGAAATTTGTTGGAGGAACGTTTCGAGCAGTTAAAGCTCTTTAAAGATATCATATTCGAATTGATAAATGCGCCTAAAGAAAGCTAAAGGAAATATGCTGTCAATTAAATATTTTTTTCATAGATTAAGATATGTTAAAAGAAATATTATTCCGCAAGATCTACTAATTGAATTAAAAATTTTAGTGCTTATATTAAGCAAACATCCCATAAAAAGTTTAGTCATCTAAAATTCATTAAATTGCTCGATGAGAAGTTTAGTCCTAAAATTATTATTCATTTGCTCTATGTCTAGTTAAGTAATTTTGATGCGCAATTTACTGACGTTGTCTAGTTTCCATCGATGCATAATCAGGTCCTTGTATATATCCCTTTGAGGCGCTTAATAATCTCCCTATAAAAGTATATAAAATTATAAGTGCCTATATCATTTCTTGCTATGTGTTATCACCTTGGCTTTAAGCTCTTATCCATTATTTTAATTGTTTTGGTTATTTTTTGAGCTTCTTAGAAGTTGGTTATTGAATATTAAAATTTTGCTTAACTTTGATCCCTAAGATTTGGGGCCAATTGACGTAGCCAGGATTTCTCCAAAGAGTGAGGAGTACAATTAGGTGAGGGCTTTACCAATAAATTTTAAAGGAGATCTTCAGGTCTATTTACTATAGGTCTTTGACTAAATTAGATTTTTATAGAAATAATTTTAGGTTTTCATTTTTTTTATAAAAATGCTTTTTCTTTAAAAATTTTAAATGATAGTCTTTATTTTTAAAAGTTATTATTAACTTTTACCAATTAAATTAATATGAATTTTTTGTTTAAGGAAGAGGGGCATGTTTTTTTATCCATTCCTTATTGATATTTTCTGTCCTAATTGATTAAAGAATTTTAATTGTGGAGTGGGATTTTACAAAACATTAAAAGTTAGAGGAATAAAAATAAAAGAAATCAAAATGTATAATTAAAAGTTAGAGGAATAAAAATAAAAGAATTTAAAATGGACCTATATTTATTATACATTTTGATTTCTTTGAGTTCTAAAGAGTCAGAATCCCTATTAGAAGGTGATAAAGTGATGGAATGACACATCCCAGACAAGTCTTTTGCCACCGAGCCAATATCAAAGACATGTCACCGAGACGCTTGGCATCCTCATTTAAAGTTAAATGGTTCTATTGGGGAAACCGGCAGAAATCAAAGATTTACCGATAAATCTATTAAAGTTTTCATGTGGCCAAAAGCAACCATTGACTTTATAACAAAAGAAACAATGCAATATTCATATAAAATCATGAATATTTACAAAATGAAAATAATCAAAGGACGTCAAAATATAATTTGTACATATAAAAAAATATATATATGGAAATTGAAAAATTAAAAAAAGTTACATAAAAAAAATATATGTTTATAAAAATAAAAAAGCTTATTAAAAAAAAATAAAAAATGTTACACAAAATTGTTGGTTGATTTGACATTTATGGACGCTTTCAATTGATTTCGAATAAGAGATATATAACATTTTTTTTATCTTTGTTATTTTTATAAGTGTATCATGTGACATTATTATTATAGTGATATATTTATGAAATAAAAGAAATCTGGAATTATCGTTATAGAATCATTTTATTTAGAAAATAAATATTATTAATTTTGAAAATAATATCGGTATCTAGCATAATTTTTTGCCAAGTATTCAATATTTATACATTTTTACAAAATGGCCCCCATAAATTTTTCCAAATTTTAACGCTTCAAAAATAAATGCAATTTATTGAAAAATAGATTTATTCGAAATGCATTTCTTAAAATGAACCTTTTTAGAATGAGTGCGATTCCAAAAATAGATTCATTTTGGATTATACACCTATTCTAAACTGTGACTTAGTCCACATTATATTTGCAGTTTAATGATGTCATATCGTGTTTTCCCCAAAATAAATAAATTTATTTTTTTAACATGATCTAAAACTTTTATGTATTTGTTTTAAAAAAGAATAAGATATTTATTTTTTAAGATTTCTCATTAAAATAATAAAGTATTATTTAATATATATCTTAACTAATATCTCTCTCTTTTAACCAGATGCGTCACTAGGTTTACTTTTAAGCTAACATTTTTAAAATGACCTTTTTTTATATAGCTAACATTTTCATAATAACCTTTATTTAAAGCCAACATTTTCAATTTTTTTTAATAATCTTCAGAAGGCTCTTCAAATATTTCAGAGAGCTCGAGCTCCTGCCTCTCCCCCTAAAAACGCTGATTTCCCTATCTAAAAACGGCCTGATTTTGGTTTTAGGTCCGATTAAGATTTTAGCCAACTGAAGATTTTTCTCATAGATGGCAGAAAGTTTGGACCATAATTTGTCAAATCCCGATGCTTATATAATATTATTTTGGTTAAAATCTTAATCGAGCCGTTATTAAAAATCGACCCAAATCGGGTCGTTTAACAAACTATAACCCTACCCTAACCTCTTTTCTATCCAAGTGGTTAGTTTCAGAAAATATCTCAGATGCAGAATTACCAAATTGGTTTATTATTTTCTTCAACGGGAATATTGAAAATAATAATAAATTCATGTCTAACATTTTTTTCTTATTTAAAATAATAGAAGAATAACATTGATTTAGTGTCTAACATTTTTACTTACAACTGCCCTACCTTAATTGTAATTTTTTTTACTGATAAAGTTTTTATAAAAATAGCTAAGAATTGTTTTTTTTAAAATAATCATTATTCTAGTTGGTCAACAATGATAAATTTTGACACTCTAATATAAATGCATTTGAAATAGTTGATAATGAAAAATAAGAAAATATTGTATCCTATATGTTAAAATAAATTTAAAAAATATTGGACTCATTTGTAATGGGAGAGAAATGACTGTTGTTCACACCACATCGGTTTAAAAAAAACTATTTATTTATATTGTAACGAAGGAGAAAATGTAAATGTAGTTATTTGGTGGTAAATGAAAATGATCAAGATGCCATGATTCAGAATAAGGAAATAAACATGGGCTTACAATTACATATAGGTTAGGTTTACATTATTTTTTATGGCAAATATTTTACACTTGATTTAAATCAGGTATCACTAAATAGACCAACATCCAGTGTTGTTAAAAAAAACCCTATTCAGATATTTAAAAAAACGAAAAGGCCTTATCAAAATTATAACCAAAACAATATTAGTAGGTCTAAAGATTTTGTTCATAAGGCAGGCTTTACATTTGCCAAATGACAAGGCTAGTGTCTACATGCATTTCAGGATATTTACTGGATGTAAACCCCCCCCCCCAAACCTATACCCAGCGTCTACATGGCAGAAAATTTGATGGAGGCAAACCCCTCCAAAATCTACCCATACCCACCTAAAAAAATCCTGCGGCCTTCGGCCGCGAAATTTACAGACCTACGATGGTATAGTGATTTTATTTAAAAAATCTTATCTGCCACCATTTATAACCTTACAACATAATTCTATTTACAATCTTTCAAGCCTATTTAGGGAAAAAAAAATTTAAAAATTTGTAAGTGATAATGAACTTTTATTTAAATAATGCAATCTTTTCATAATTTGGTATTCACTTTATTTTCATAAAATATATATAAGTGAATTAAATGAGATAACATATTAATATTTCTAGATCTAAAATATTGTAAAAAATATAAGACGAATAAATTTAAAGAGGTATATTTAGCTTGATTCCACATAATTAAAAACATGTATTGTAAATAGAGCTATTATATAAAATATTAGAATAAAATGAATTATAGTATATTTTGCATTGAAATTATAAAATGTTAAATTAAATATACATTATTTAAAAGCCTATATATTCGCTGTGAAAAATACATTAATTATTTTATTAATAATTTGGATAACCTTATTGATGTTAAAGCAAATTGTGTTATAATATCATCAATTGTAAATTTTTCAAAAACATCAATTTCGCTGGATATTAACAGTAAATTTTCCAAAAATGGGTCCGAAATTTTATTCCGCATTCGAGTTTTGTTAATTTTTACTTTACTCATGGCTCTTTCGGCTGAACAGGAAGTTGTAGGAAGGGTTAATAAATATTTATATAATAAATTTAAATTTGAATAAGAATTTAATTGATTTAAAAGTCGGTATGGTAATATAAAAGAAAATTTTATCCATTTTTTTATTTTGGTCATGATTTCGCTGTTGATATTTTCTTTGGTAATTTGATCGTTTGCAATACCTTTAATTATATACAATTACAAATAAAATATCAATAAATTACTTTCATCAATATATAACGCGTCATTCTTTTTAACTTTTAAAAGATCTTCGCAAAAAATGATTGATTGAGACTCCAAATATAAAGAGCGAAAATCATTATATTCATCAACAATGTTTTGGACATCCAATTGATAAGTATTACAAATTTCGGATATTTGCCATCCTTCTATTTTTTCATTATCCATAATTCCAGCGGGAGTAAAAATGGATATCTGTGATAAAAAATTTAAACAATCATAATTAAATCGATCATTTAGGTGATTAATTATTGCATTTAGAACAGGGAAAAATATTTCCGTTCTATATCTATAATAATAAATAATAATTTAAATTTTTTTAATTTATTCAACTTGTTTTTTTTTGTTCAACATAATTATTGAATTCTGTTTGATCCAATTTAAATATTGATTTCATATTATACAAATCAGTTATTACATTATTCTTTTTCAAAAAACTAAGGAATGTAATTTTAAAAATATATTGTCTCCATTAGCTATATTTTAAAATTATTTATAGAAATAGTAACTAATATTAACCTTTTAGTTTTTGTAATTTATTTTTTGTATGTTGTATAATTTGGTTACCAAAGCCAAATCATTACCAACTGCCTGCATTTCAATACAAGCCTCATGTGTACATTTCAATATTTCTTTCAAAATAAAAAGACTTAATATAAAATTTTCATCTTTAATTCTTGATAATAACCCATCGGCAATGGAAGAGGTGCTTGGGTCATTAGAATCTTTTAATTCAACTAATGATGCTAAAATATGTTCATAAACATCTAAAAAGATTTCTACAGATTTGTAGGATGATGACCAATTTCTGAAAATATATAAGTTTCAAGTTTCATTAAAAATATTTTATTTACCTTGTTGTGTTTTTAATTCTTTTAAGAGATTTCTTGGACTTTCTCATTTGATATTTAACAAACACACCTTGACGTCTAACTCCATTCATAAAATTATATAACTCATCTAATATTCCCATTGCCTTTTTCATTTCAATTTTGCATCCACAAACATGAGCAACTACTAAATTTAGCCGATGTGCATGGCACCAAATATAGATGGCTTTTGGAGCCTCTTTCAATATTAAAGCCTGCATTCCTTTGTATACTCCTCTCATATTCCCTGCACCATCCATACTTTGTCCAACCAAATAATCAAGAGGAAGACCAAGATCATTAAACTTAGAAAAAACATGTTTCTTTATATTTTCCCCAGTGGTTTCTGATGTTGTAAAAACATGTATGATCCTTTCTACAGGATGTGGATGCAGATCATCTTCTATATACCGTACAAGCAAAGCTATGCATTCTTTTTTAGACACATCATATGTTCCATCTAATATGATGCTATAGGCACGATTCTCTTTAATTGTTTGAATAATGCTTTTTGTTATTTTTATCTTAATAATTTCAGTTATTTTTTTCACGTGGCCATATGACAGTAAATTTATATAAGGTCTCGAAATTTTATCTGATTTTTTTCTCCGCAATTTTTCGTTGTTATCCATGTATGCACGTAAAGTTGGAACCGTTTTTGCCATTAATTTTATGAGACACATAAAATTACCTTCATTCGAATTAGAACCCCAAAAGGCTATATTACATTTTATAAGGTACATAATGGCATTGATAATATTATGAACTATATTACGATTTTCCATGATTATATCAAGCTTATTTGATAGCAAATGATCTTGAATGCGTTTATTTGCAAGCCAAGTCATGTTTGCATATTCACAATCTTTATGAAGAGAAGATGCTTCGTGTCTCTCTAAGTCACGCTTTATGTTTTTCCAATTATTTACCCCATGTTTAGTCCAAAAAGTATTGGACTTAGGGCCACCAAACATAATACAATATAGACAAAAGACTTTGTCTAAAGTAGTGCTATAAGATAGCCAATTTCTGGGGTTGAGGGAACCATCTATATTAACCTTTCTATAATAGGTTATATTCATGCTCCTGTTTAAAAAGTAAAAAAAAATATATTGGTATAGAAATAATGGATGGGTAAAAATTAATGAAAATTAATATTATTTAAAACCTCTTGTTAGTAACAGGATATTGAAATTTATTTGTACATGGCTGACAAGGGCCTACAGCAATTATGAAATTTATCAAAATATTTGTCATCCTAAATAATATAAAGTGAAAAGGGTCATTTGGTTCCTTTTTTTTGTATAGCTGAATAAGACTTGGACTTTGAATATCCTCATAATTTATTCCCTTCAAAAGTCATTATATAAATTTTATTTAAATATAATGCCTCATGCAAAGTAAGTGCCTCACTAGAACCGGGGATTGGATGAGGAGAAAATACAATTTTTGAATCTTCAATATTGGAGATTTGCTATAAATAAAGAGTATAATTTGTTTACTTATGAAAATCTATTTTTAATATAATTTCAGCCAAATGGTCATTTTATTCTTAGCTACATTATAATTAAGTTAATCAATAATTGTTGGAAATATTTAAATGTCCTAATTTATTTTCTTCAAAAGTTATCATATAATTCGTATTTAAATTAAATACCTCATCATGCAAAGTAAGCGCCTCACTGGAACTGGGGATTGGATGAGAAGATAATACAATTTGTGAATCTTCAATATTGGAGATTTGCTATAAAGAGTATAATTTGTTTACTTATGAAAAACTATATTTTTAATAAAATTTTAGTCAAATGGTCATTTTATTCTTAACTACATTATAATTAAGTTTTTAATAAAGGTTGGAAATATTTAATTAACCTCATAATCATAATTTATTTCTTTCAAAAGTTATCATATAATTCGTATTTAAATTAAATACCTCATCATACAAAGTAAACACCTCACTGGAACTGGGGATTGGATGAGGAGATAATACAATTTGTGAATCTTCAATAACTGAGATTTTCTATAAATAAAGAGGAGTTTAATTTCTTTCCTTATGATAACTATATTTTTAATAAATTTTTAGGCAAATGATAATTTTTTTTAACTACATTATAATTAAGTTTTTAATAAATGTTTTAATTCTACATGAATACATGATTGAGAAAACAGGTATTAAAAATATTATGAAGTCCAACATAAAGTTATCAGGTTACAATGGAAAGATGATACAAGTAATAGGTAAAGCACAAGTGAATGTAGAATACAAAGGGAATTCACATATTTTGAACGCAATAATCATAAACATCAATATGACTTTGTTAGATCATGTAAAAACATTTTTAAAATATACTTGAAAGATTCATAGGCATGATAGATGCAGATTAATATAAAACTGCGATCACATGAAGAAATCATAAAACAATATTATAATGACTATAAAAATAAAAACAATATTAAGTATAAATAAAATTGTGAAATTCATGATGAAAGTATATTATCTAAAGAAATTCTAATAGCTAAATAAAACAATGATAATAAACATACCTAATATAACACATAATGTAAATAAAGGGGATGAAACTCACACAGATAACATTTTGAAAATAGTTGATTCCAAATCATATTTTATAAGATTTATATTTAAAAAAAGTAAAAGAATTTGAAGTCTTAATTCAATTAAAGATGAAAAGATTTAAATTTAAAAATTCCTAGAAATTAACATTACCTTATTTTACTACATTATATTAACTTAATAAGTTTTTTTAATACTTTGGTTTTAAATTATTATTATTAACTTATTAAACATATTGTTAAATTGAACTTTATAAAGTATATATAGATATAAAAATAGTGTGATAAACAGTTAAAAAACATTAAATAATAATATATATAATTTATTTTCTCTATACCCTGACTACTTTAATATTAATATTATTCTGGTAAAATTTTAAATCAGTTTCTATTAATTCACAAATTTATAGTTACAATAATAAATAAAAATATTACTTTTTGGAAGTAAGATGTTATTGTCTTTTTTTGCAACTGGGTTTCAACTCCATTTGTGATATTATATGGAATATCACAATTTAAAGATACCCAATTATTATTATCTCTTTTGATGGCTACCTTTGTAAATTTCATATCTTGACATGAGGATGTTTATGTTTATAATGTTCATGTATCTTGTCACTTCTTATTTTAGAAGTTTTGCAATTTTTAATATTGCACTTAACTTTAAATATGGTTTTGTTACTTGGCATCTAGAAAGAAATAATTATTATAATATAATTTTTTACATATTATGTTTTTTATTATTCTTTGCTTGCTGATATATGTTTTTATGCATGACTCAAAAAATTACCTAAAATTTATCCTGCTAAAATCTATAAATTTATTAAAAAACATAATATAAATATATTAACCTCTAAGAAAAGTACCAAATAGGAAATGTGTAAATATTAACTTGATAAAATGCTAAATGAAAATCGTTGACAAAGAAAATTTATATTATTTATTAATTGACAAATATCTTTACTTTAATTGACATTTTTCAGAAAATCAAACGATAACCATCATAATCGTATCAATTAATGGATTAAAAAAAGATTATAATTCAAATCAAAAATTACCCACCAAAAATCAATACCTACCCCCAAAAAAATAATGCCTACCCCCAAAAAATTAATATCAACCCCTTAAAATCGATACCTACCCCCAAAAATGCTAATATATTTTGGAGGCATTTGTCTCCTACCCTCCCCCTTCCCGGCCATGTAGACGCTGCCTATACCTACCCCTCCCCCCACCCCTAAATAATTTCCACCTTCCTACATTAATAAATGCACGTTTTTAATTATAATGGTACTCCCTTTATATATTTAATAATTTAAATTATCAATACTCTATAATTAACTATCAAAAAATTCTGAATGTAAAAGAGTTATTACTTAGAACATGAAATAAATTAAAAATCCCCTTCATTTACAATTAATCGAATAATATAGCATTGTTTTGGAATGAATATGTGTTAAAAATGTCTAACCTTCTTAAATTATTAAAAAGATAGCAGGAAATTATTCAGAATAAGTATTATTTATATAATATTGGGCGATATTTAGCAATCTATTAAGATTGTTAAAAAATTATTTGTTAAAAGTTTAGAAAATTATAAAAATGGTTACATCAGATTTTGTTAAATTTCTATACCCATACAAAAATGCATTTCCAAATGTTTTTCAAATATTCCGTATCATTTTGGATCATCCACATCGAGTTGTGAGTCAACTTTAAACCATTAAAGAGAGTTGTTGCGTTATTCTAATTTCTTAATCTTATTATATATTTTTGTAATCTAATTTTTATTATTTGATTTTTATTATGTGTTATAATCTAATTTTATTTTATAAACGGCGTAACCTTACTTTTTTTATATTCTTTTACTTTTTTGTATTTCGTTTTATATTCTAATTTATATTTTAGAAAATGTATATATACCTTAAGAAAAGAAAAAGAAGTTAGTTAATAAAATATATTTTTTATTTAATAAAGTTAATAAAACATATTTATTATTCACCGGCACATAATTCATGTTATTCTAAATGGTGCCTCCAGTTTTGGCAAAAGAAACTCGCCTTATGGAAATTTTTTTTAAAAATAAAATTTTTTTCCCTTTGTAAATATGGTTAATAAAAAAAATTATAAAATGGTACAAACAATTCTATATAAGATGGATAAAAAAAGGGTAAGTCATTTCAAAATTATTTTCATCAATTATGTTCGCCTTCAAACTACTAAATGTACCCCATCAAATTTCCATCTACGATATTTTATTTGAGTTAACTTATAATTCCGATGTCAACTTTTATAGGATAAACGGTACGGAGGATGTACTGTTTGAATTTATGAATTTAAGAGACATGATAAATTGTTTTGAATTATTAAACGGGAAACACTATATTTACGGCGATAGTGATTTCATTGAATTAATTTGTATATTCGTTAAATCATAAATAGTTATACCAAAACTTGGATTAATAAAATAATAAATGTTATAATTGCTTATTTACGTGTCTTATTAATTAAATATGGAAATTAAACAAGAATTTACACATAAGATTCCTAAGTTAGTGGGTCCTCTTACTGAAATTTATTTAGACAGAATATTAAATTACTTTTCGACCAGTACATTATCGGACTCTATTAAAATTAATACTTTGCTTAATAATTTATCAGACGAAGTTTTTGACGACATTAAGGCAATTTGTTCTGATACCGATATTTTAGATCTTAAAATTGTGATTAAAAAGTTAACCTATCTATTACCAGCGCTAAATTTAAATACTTTAATTAATAAATTTAATCTTCTTCAACAAAACTCATCAGAGAGTTTTATGCTGTGGTACATTAGAGTATCGAAACTTCATAAGAAATGTAATTTTTTGGACGATAGTAGATTAAAAGAGAAATTACGGACATCTACCTTAAACGATAAGATCAAATACAAATTCTCCAAAAATTTTGACCTTACATTGAATTAGATGGTGGAATTAGGGGTGAAACTGGACTTTAGTAATATTAAGTCTGAGGATAATGAGTTATATAAATAATGATAAAAAGTCCCATAAAGATAAAAAATTTTGCAGTAGAAATGATAATAATTTTAGAAATAATTTTAGAAATAATTATGAAAATAGATATAGAAATGGGAATTACAATAATAATTTTAGATACAATTATGGTAATAATAATTCGCGATACCACGATAATTATAACAATTATAACTATAACAATTATCGCTATAATAATAATAATCAATCGAATTATGGTAGAAATAATACATGGTATGATAATAATCAAAGAAAACAAATCCAATACGGTGACGGAAATCGTAACAATTACCAATCTTATTACAACAATTCAAATAATTATAGAGGTAATGATAATAATCAGAGAAAGCAAATACAATATAACAACAACTCAAATAATTATAGAGGTAATGATAATAATCAGAGAAAGCAAATACAATATAACAACAACTCAAATAATTATAGAAGTGGCGACGAAAATAATAGAAAGCAAATACAATACAATAATGATTACAACATGAATATTGAAGAAATTATTGAAGAAAAAGGCGACTCTACAAAGAACAAAGATGATAATGATTTTAATGTCAACAATTTATCTGGCGATATGATTAATGACAAAGATAACGCTTTTATGACTACTTTAAAAGTAAACGACATTGTTACTTGTATGCAAGTGGACACTGGATCCAAATACACTATTATACCTCATGGTCTGGCTAAAAAACTTGGTATTAGAGATCTTAAGAAATCCGAGCTACAACTCACTGCTTATGATGGGAATTTAATCAAAATCATAGGAACTACTCAAGTTAAAGTGACTTATGATGGTATTTCCAAATATTTACAAGCGGTAGTGGTTGAATCAAGTAAAAATGCCTTGTTGGGACGTACGTGGATCAATGCTTTCAAAAATATTTTAAATAAATTTATAGCAAATATTGACACTAATTACGAAGATGAAATAAAAAAATTGATTAAAGAGTGTGAATCGAAATTAACTAATGGGCCAATCAACAAAGCAAGTGTCAAGTTACATTTAAGAAGTGATGCCCAACCTAAAATTATACCGCCTAGACGTATCCCTTATTCAAAAATTAATCTTGTTAGTAATGAACTTAAAAAATGGATACATGATAAAATTATTGAGCCGGTGAATGATGTCCGATGGGCAAGTCCTGTTACCGCTGTCTACAAAGAAGATGGGAGCATTAGGCTTTGCGCTGATTTTAAGGATACTGTAAACCCAGCTCTAGAAGACTTTAGATACCCTCTACCACGAATTAATGATCTAATTGCTAAACTTTCGGAAGGAAAGAAATTTACGAAGATTGACTTTAAAAATGCTTTCTTACAGATTCCAATTGATAAAAGTTGCAGAAATATTTTAACCATATCTACGCATAAGGGATATTACCAATTTACTAGACTTCCTTTTGGGCTTAAGACCTCATCTGCAATTTTTCAACAGATTATGGATCAAATCTTCGGTGATATGGATGACGTTATATTTTATATTGATGATTTACTTATAACTGGAAAAAACGATGAAGCCCACCTAAACAACATAAAAAAAGTATTTGATAGGATATCATCGTATGGGCTAATACCTAACTTTAATAAAAGTGTGTTCTTTACAAACAAAGTGAGGTTCCTGGGTCATGATATTGACGCTAAGGGGATTCATGCTAATCACGACAAAATTGAAGCAATAATTAATATGCCAGAACCAAAATCAGCTGCTGAATTATCAACATTTCTGGGAATGGCTGGCTACTATAGAAAATTTTTGAACAATTTTGCGGAAATTGCCGATCCTCTTTATAAGATTGTCAACAAAGAAAAATGGGCTTGGAACCTAGAACACTCTAAATGTTTTAATGATCTAAAGAAGTTAATTAGTCTTCCACCTGCTTTGACATATTTTAACCCTGAATTACCTATAGGGATAGCCACTGACGCATCAAAATGTGGTTTAGGAGCTGTACTATTTCATATTGAAAAAGATGGTAAAGAAAAACCTATAGCTTTCGCGTCGAGAACTTTATTAAAATCTGAAATGAACTATACCAATATTGAGCGTGAGGCTCTCGCTATAATG